ACATAATACCTCTCTATTTCTGATGCTTCTGTTTCTTGTTATTTATCTGCCAAAAACACTGGAAGTTTGTTTTGAGCAATTAAAGGTTTAGCAGAAAAAACAGCCCTTTTATTTCAAGACAACTTTGTGCCATGTGCTCCCAAAGAGTTTTCTTCAAACACCCATGTGCTGCTTCTTTGTATAAAAATGTCAGCCTTGCACTGTTTCAAATTACTTCAAGTCAATGGACAATGAAAGATAAATAACTAATACTTAGGACTTTTCAGTAATATTGCTGAAAGTGCTTTACCATGATGGGCCTTAATTAGCTCCATTTTACATATGCGGAAATGGAGGCAGAGAGAGGTTAGGTGACTTGCCCAAGGTCACACTGGAAGTTACTGGCAAAGATAGGAATTCACTGACACTTCCAGTCAGGTTCCCAATCCACTAAACAATGCTGTCTCAGAAAGAGAAAGAAAATCATGCTTTTTTTTTTTAGCATAAGATCCAGATTTTCTACCAAAATATTTTTGACTTCATCTGGGTTTGAGTGGCAAATATCACTGTTAAACAACAAGCAGACTTTCTCTATGTGTACCACAACAATTAAGAATTTGACCAAATCATGTTTCAGCTCACACACCTTCAAGACAGAGTTGACTCAGTGGAATAGATAATTTCCTTACAATCTGAATGATTCTAAGATGGTATAAAGAAGAAAAAGTTTTACATATTTCCAGGTCTGTGATAGTCTTTGCGCAAGACAATAAAGCATTCTATGATTCTGAAAGATAATACATATACAAAACAATCTATGTACTGTTTTAGTAGAAATGACTTTTTTGAGTGTAACAGAGTGTAAATGAAAGTTAACAAGACATTGGCTACCGAAATTTACAAGAAATGCCTGCAGCGAGACTGGATGCATTAAACTTAGATGAGTACAGTGCAGTGCTTGAATAACCTACTTCAACTTTTGGGGATGAACTGTTGCTTTTCTATATTAGAGAATGGATAAAATTGTAGAAAAGGCAGTTTAGCTACATTTGAAAAAACAGATTTCTGGCAAGCCTTTTTGGAATGTTGTGACGTTATCAGATTAAAATATGACTATATAGATCATTGTTGCAACCAATGAAGTTTAACTCATATATATTTGCAATGAATCTTGTACAAAAAGTGGCTTGAAAGATATCTATGAAAAGGCTATGATTTGCTGATTATGATTATGCTATCTGTATGCATGTATCATTTTTGTATTTGAAGTTATAAGTACTGGCTCTATACCTGGATTTCAAAATGTTTGCTCCTGGGGTAACGCCAATGAAGTAGTCAGCCAGCACATCTTGGAGGGACTATTCAAATTGAGTTGCCCAACAAAAGGACACTTAACTCACAATGGGAGATGCCCATCTACACTGAGTGGACTATCTTATAAACGTGCTGTATGGAATATAGGTAATGGCTTCCTGCAATGACTGGGCGAAATTGGGCATGAACATGTGACTTGCCCATGTGACTCCAAACATTCTGTAAAGCGCTCCTACCCTATGTAGACCTTGCTGACACATTCTAAATGATACCTAGTTTGTATGGTTATAGTCCCATTTGAAATCACACCCCTCTAGTGCGCTTTGCTGGTGCTGTGTAGACAAGCCCCAAGAAAAAATTAAAAAGGGCTTTTCATTCATGAAATATTTTTCAACACGACCCACATGACCTCTATCCTTATGCCCCTCAAGAGCTGTCACAGACTATAAAACTGAAATGTTTAACCACCAACACAGTATAACCCCATCCACAGGCTAATTTAGGAATATCAACTGCTACAATGCAGTATGTGTAAATAAATCTCAATTAATTCCTTACTTTTGACACTATTGATCAGCCAGAAATACCATCAGCAAGTGTTGCTGAATCACTGAAATGATCACAGGAGAAACATTTTCTTAATGCATTTCTTACTTGCAGCGTTCAGTCAGTTCCCAACTGAAAATGTGTAAGATTTTATATAGTCTCTGAAAATTCCTTTTGAGTAGCAGATGTGGAGGGGCCAACAAGATTTCATCCGATTTGAATAGATATTTCAAAAAGGAATATTCTAATCTACTATATTAAAAATCAACAAAACTCTATTTTACAATAAGACAAAGAGATTCCATATTAGCACTGTTATTACTCAGACTTCACTGTCATGATTTATAGTCTCCAGGACAATGGAGGAATTCTATTAAATTACAGAGCTATTACTTTATTGAGTATAAACACATTTGTAAGTATGAAGAAAAATAGAAAACCACCATTTAATATCCATCAGATTGGAGGGTTTTATCACTAGAACACCATAGTTAGAATTCTGTCTACTTCTATTCAAAACACCGCCTACTAGTAATGATAGCATGCTATGTCAATACAAAAATGAATGAATCTATAGGGAGGTTGTGGAATCTCCATCTCTGGAGATATTTAAGAGTAGGTTAGATAAATGTCTATCAGGGATGGTCTAGACAGTATTTGGTCCTGCCATGCGGGCAGGGGACTGGACTCGATGACCTCTCGAGGTCCCTTCCAGTCCTAGAATCTATGAATCTATCTATGAATCTATAAAACACATTTTATAATGTTTGGTATTCTATGGGAAATTCCTACCCCAAAACCCAAGTCAGTAATTTTTACATTATATATAATAAATCATTCATTCAAAGTGGATGCTTCCAGACTAAAGCATTTCTACAAGTGTACGTGTATCTTTGTGTGTCTCTCACTCCCTACCACCATTGGTTCTAACCCAGAGGCATCCACACTGAAGGGATGAATTGAAAACAAGAGAACAGACATTGCTTAGTGGCAGGAGTTTAAGTAGGGCTCTCAATTTAGGTTCAAATTTGACAATTTGAAAATCTTGTCAACGAATTTTAGACATAAATGGCAGAGATCATGAAATTCACTGATCACTGAATTTCTGCTGGTGTTATTTGCAAGACTCTGACATAGCCAAACTACAAGAAAAACCTCTTCCAATTTTTGATATGGAGATATGAATCCTAGTTTTCAGACTGGAAATAAAGCACACATTTTTAACAGTGAGGGTAATTAATCATTGGAAAATTTGCCAAGGGTCATGGTGGATTCTCCATCACGGACAAATTTTAAATAAAAATTAAATGTTTTCCTAAAATATATGCTTTAGAAATTATTCTGGGGAAGTTCTATGGCCCGTATTATACAGGAGGTCAGACAATATGATCACAACGGTCCCTTCTGACCTTGGAATCTATGAAAATTACCACTCTCCTTTCTCCTGCCCCTTCCTCCCCCCCCCCGTTCATAGTTTCAATTCAAGGTTCTAATGTTCACTGACCTGTGCTAAAAACTGAAGTTTATTATAAGGGCAACAAGGTCCCATCATCAATAACCTAAATACCAAAAAAGTCATCAAATTAATCCGCTGTCTCACAAACCTCACACCCAAAATATGTACAGTAACTCCTCACTTAACGTTCTCCCACTTAACGTTGTTTCAAAGTTACGTCGCTGCTCAATTAGGGAACATGCTCGTTTAAAGTTGTGCAATGCTCCCTTATAACGTAGTTTGGCTGCCTGCTCTGTCCACTGCTTGTAAGATTCTGTGGAAGAGCAGCGACTTTACTAGGGAGCATTGCACAAGTTCCTCTTCTCCCCCTCCCTCCGAGCGCTTCCCCCACTGACAAACAGCTTAGGACGTTGGCGGCGCTTAGGACTTTCTGGGAGGGAAGGGGAGGAGCGGGGAAGTGCCGTGTCTCCACTCCTTCCCCCCCCCGTCCCAGAAAGTCCTAAGCGCGAAGCACTGGGAGGGAGGGGGAGGAGTGGGGAAGTGCTGCGTCTCCACTCCTCCCCCATCCCTCCCAGAAAGTCCTAAGCGCTGCTAAACAGCTGTTTGGCAGCGCTTAGGACTTTGGGGGTAGGGGGGAAGGAGTGAGGATGCAGCTGCTCCGGAGAGGAGGTGGAGTGGGGATGGGCCTGGAGTGGAGCAGGGACAGGAAGAGGCGGGCCTGGAGCATCCCCTGGCAAAGTCGGCACTTGATCTTCTCAGGAGAAGCTGCTGCTACTGCGAAGGTGCTTCCTAGAGTCCTTGCCTGCAGCGGGCAGTGCCTGTGTGGGGTAAGCCAGGGGCACTTCCCAACCACAGTACACTACAGTATATAATGCCTTTTGTCTGCCCAAAAAAAGTTTCCTTGGAACCTAACCCCCCACATTTACATTAAATCTTATGGGAAAATTGGATTAGTTTAACATCATTTCACTTAAAGTTGCATTTTTCAGGAACATAACTACAACTAAGTGAGGAGTTACTGTATGTATGTGTCTGTGTGCATGTGCACACTACTACAGTTGGAGGACTGAAGGCGAAAATTATGTTCCTCTTTTCTACACTTATATAGAGAGCATATTATATACACACATACATATGCACACACAAAATAGCCAACAGAATGCAAAAAGGTTATATTTCTATTGGGGATATATAGAGAAAAAGTAAAGCAATGGAGTCAAGTTCGAGTGGTTTGTAACTCACTACAAAGCCTGTTCAATCTACAGTATCTACTTAATAATGCGTTCTTACAGTTTAGGATACTGCACTCAAACGAAAGGCTCTAAAGCCCGTAACGTGTAAGGTTAGGTCAGATACCTACACCATGTGTACAATAAAAATACACACTCTGATGGTGTTAATGAAGAGAGAGACAGACGTAAATAAATTAGGTATGGAAGTGTTTTGTGACATTATAAAACTATTTCAACATATGCAAATTTTAAGTGATCAGTTCTGTTGACTGATGTTATAGTCATTAACTTGAAGACCACTGAAATCTGTGCACTGCAATAATTAGACACCACGTTGATAGGCACCTTAGATCTTAGGTATCTTCGCTGCTCCTTCAATTGTAACTGACACCATATGCCTTTACTTCAGCATATCCCTGCTAGCATACAGGTGAACATTTAAGAAGCTGAATATTTTTAAAGTAATCAATTACCTGATAGCTTCATGAGGAGCTCAGATGCTGCCTTGATGGACATGTCCTGCCTTAACACATTTGTCTGCACTTCCTGTGGCTTGACAGTCTCCTCAGGGATGCTTGGGGCTGAGGCTTCGGGTCCCTGGTTGAACATGTAGCTGGACTGAGACAAGGTTGAGCTTGCAGCTTCTTCATCCCGAGGCTCGTCTTTCACTTTAAATGTAGCAGTCAAGGGCTCTTTTTGATTTGCAGCTGTCAAGGGAGTTAAAAGGCTGGACTTAATGAGATGTATAATGCATAATCACACCGCAGCAAGAAACAGGAATGAACTGCAACCCAAGAACAGCTGGAGCAGGTATTGGGCGCTAGAACATGACACACCATTTAGAAATGGCTGGTGGGGTAGGTACGTATCTGCACCTTTGGTACACAAGAGCTCAGAGTGTTGAATCTCAAGGAAATGTGCATTTCCCACTCCTCCCTTTCTTCTTCTGCCCCTGCCCCCACAACAGCTTTCCCATTGCTTGTGCTGTCTTGTATGTCTCCCACAAGCCTCATGGACACCTAAGGACACCACTTCACATAATAGCCAATTTGGCACAACCCATAACCATTTAGTTATGAAGCTATTTTTTAAAAACTGGATATAAAAGAGAGGAATAATAAAAGATAGCAAGAGAGAAGGCAGAAGAGGGGAGCAAAGGGAAATGAAGAGAAGAGCAAATTAGTTACCCAAATGATTTGTTGTAATAATCTTATGGGTGTGAATAGAAGGATTTTTAGAGGTTCCAAATACTTCTTGGGGAAGAGAGCCCTGCATTATCAAAATATTTGGAGATTTTGTTAAAATATCCCCACCCTGGAGAAAAACCAAAACAAAGCAAACAGGTTTTCTTTTTAAATATCTTTTTAAATGCCTCATGTAAGCAACTGCTGCTTCTGGGAGCAAGGTCTATAGATCTTGGTGCTGCTTATGTTGGCTGGGCACAGAACCACTTTGGCAAATAGCTCTTCAGTTAGTAATTGCTGATGTTGGATCTGTGGCACTGGATTTAGTCAACTTGGTGAAACCAGGGACCTGGATACCACTTAAACAATATTGCCAACCCCAAACATTCTAAACTCATGAGTCAGGCCCCCTAAAATTATGAGAATGCCTTAAATCATTAGATTTATTTTAAAAATTGTCATATTATTTTCCCCCTGCCTTTTAATTTTTTAACCTTTAGGCAAAGCCACCTGCCCCCAATTTGCTCATTATTATCTCTTGTTCAAAATTCCACTTCATGTGCACTCAAAAATGCAGGCCTCCCTGTTGCAGGTGGACTCTCCTTACCAGCTCCCCAGGGCACTGGGGAGCTGCCATTCTATCCAGCTCTAATCCCATACCTACCTAGGAACAGAGTAAGCAGCTCCCCCACAACATTCTCCCTCCTACAGTCATCCATCCCTCATCTACCCTCTACATTCACTTGTCTCTCATATTCCTCCTTCCCATCACATTCTCCCTCTCTGCCACAGCACAGTCCCCGGCACACCCTCAGTCTGCTTCTCACGGTGCCCCTCTCCACTCCTCTCAGTTTGCCTCTTGCCCTCCACCTCAATCTTCCTCATGCCTCCAACCATTCTCCTGGCTTCCCCCAGATTCCTTACCTATCTCCTAATGTATTCCCCCTCCCGGCTGCTCGTGCACCTCCACATTCCCCTGCCTGACTAAGTGGCCATCATCTTCCCTGAGGGCAGTCTGGCTTAAGTCTCTTTGGAAAGAGTGGGAGCTGATGGCCATCTTTGCCATGGGCAGCTTCACTTTCCCTTGTGAAGCTTAAAGAGATATGGTGACCAGATCTGGCAGCTACCCAGGCAGAAATGAGAGATGAAACCCATTTTGGCTAAGGGACAAATTTCATGAGATGGAAGGCATGAGAATCCTTAAAGCAAATATTGCAAGACTCATGACAAAGTCACGAGTGTTGCAAGACAACACTACTCAAGCTCAGCGAGTGACTTATTGAGTCAGTGCTGGCCACAGAGCACCAGGCTTAGTCGACTAAAGATGAAGAGACTGGCCCAACAGCAGGGGTTTGAAACAGCCCTCTTGCTCTTCACAGGTCTGGATGATGCCTGTGACTTACAGACACTCTTTGTTTTTGGTGTGGAGGAAGGCTGGAGAGAAGAGAAGCAGAATTTGAGGGAGGATATTGAAAGAAACACTGGCTGGGTGACTAGCTAACTAACTATAAACAAAAATAGCCCCAAAATGGGCAAAAGAAAAGAAAAATGAACGAGGGAAACACTGAGGATACTAAGCAAGCTCCAGGCTCACTGAATCATTGGTGGCCAGAAGGATTAACAGAAGGGCAGTTGAGGCCACTGCTTCTCAGAATGTTGCAGAGTGGGAGGCATGTGGAAGAGTGTAGTGCTCCAACAATCACAGCTCCCTGGAAGCTATCAAGCTCATGTCGCAGGAGGCATGCGTAGCCCAAGAGCGGAAAATATGAAGAATAGACCTCAAAGAACAACAGTGGAGTTGCTTTTAAAATTACCCTGTTAAATGCCTCACAAACAACTGCTCCTTCTCAGAGCAAGCATAAAACTACTTTTGAAGCTTTGTCTTCTGTTTCGTAACCCTATCTGAAGTGCTCAAAGGAAGAGATAATGAAGTTTTAAGCGCAACCATGGGTAGTTGCTTCTCAGATGGTGAGAAACTTGAAGCTGGTGGCCACAATCAATTGGAGAGTGCTTAAAAGGGATACAGCTCTTGGACACACATTCCACTGTGCCTTAAAAAAAATAATATACGGACCTCTAACACAAATTTTAAAAGCTTTGCAATTTACACTATGGAGCTGCTTGGGTTGCCTTTGGATGATTTATATTTTTGGTTGGGCTTAGGGTTGGCAAGATGCTATCACAGATGATTTAAGGAAGTGATAGAGTTTGGGCTCACCCAGTAAGTATGCACATTTCAATACTCACTCTTAAGGAATTAAATATCTTAAATCTGAACATTTTAATATGCATTTTTAGCACTTATGCCACCATAAGGATAATTTTTACCTTTACAATTTTAGGTAATCAAATGCAAAAATGTGCATTAATGCAATGTTAAGCATTGCATTAAATTCACCAAAATACAAGTTATGTTTAACATAGTTATGCTAACCTCACCAAGTTATATATGTAAGCCCTCCAAATACCTCCACAATCCGTTGTCCAGGTCTGACCCTTCTGTCTAACTCTGTCTCTCATGCCCCATTTCTAACATAGTCTATTCTAGGGTTCCAATTGGGCCCACATGAAGTGGCATTGTGTACCAGCACATCTCCCAAGAGGAGTGTACCAGCACCTCTTGGGCCCCAGAATCTCAACTTTTATCTCAGTCTCAACTTACATTTGAATCAATTTGGCTCTTGGAGGTACAGGGGTCCATCCACATGGAATTCAATGCAGGATCAGGGCCCATGTCTAGACAGGGCTTTAGTAGGGTTACCATCCGTCCAGGTTTCCCCGGACATGTCCGGCTTTTTCAGCCTTAAATGGCCGTCCGGGGGGGATTTCTAATGAAGTAGAAATGTCCGGGATTTCCCCTCCTGCGGAGTGCAGCGCAGCTGATTGGACGCCTGGCCTGATTGAAAGCCGCTCGCAGCCACTAGGGCCTCTAGCAGCCAGAGTCCCTCCCCCTCCCCCGCTCCCTCCTCTCCCACAGAGCAGCGCGGAAGTGTTTAGTCCACGTGAAGCCTGCATTTCTCCCTCTGCCGGGTGAGCGGGGGGAGCAGGGCAGGCGGCGGCGGGGGAGGGGCGTAGAGGCGGCGGGGGGGGTGTAGAGGCTGCAGGGTGAGTGGGGAGCAGGGGGCACAGAGGCTGCAGGGGCGGGGGGG